ATTAAATTTTTGAAAACAATGAGGATTGTTTCATACTAATGTTCCTCATAATTAGTAAATAATGGAGCTCCATTGCCTCTGAAATTAATTTTCATGAACTCCAGCACAGAAATTGTTACTTGGCTTATAGACACTTGTGGAAAACATTTTAATTGAGATCATCTCTAAGCAAACACTATTTAATACTTTACTAGTGACAATATAGGAAAAGAGTTGTTGTTGTTATGTGCTGTCAAGTCGTTTGCGATTCATAGCTTATTTATGCTTAGCTTATTTAAGCAGAACTTAGTATATACAAAAATTAACTAGTATTTTCATTATTATACTTTTTTTAAAAAAATACTGATTTATTTACAACGTTTGAATACATGGAAATAGCCCAGATGTCCCACTGCAACCGTATGGATTAAGACTTTGTGGTACTTTCATGCAAGGGAATATTATACAGCATGTAGGAGCAATGATTTTGTAAATTACTACCCAACTTGGGAGATACTAGAGAGCATTATGCTGAGTGAATTAACTCAGTCTCAGAAGAAAAAAAATATTGTATGATTACTCTTTATATTGTTGTTGTTAAGTGCCGTCGAGTCGCAGACAACTTATATTGACCCTGTGAAGGAGAATCCTCAATGCTTGGGTGTCTCTCATCCTCTCTACTCTTTATAGTGAATTAATATTTTTAATTTTTCTTTATTTTAGGGTTAATTTTGTTTAAGCTGCATCAATGGAGCACATACAGGGGGCCTGGAAGACAATTAGCAATGGCTTTGGATTCAAAGATGCAGTGTTTGATGGCTCCAGCTGCATCTCACCTACAATAGTTCAGCAGTTTGGCTATCAACGCCGTGCATCAGATGATGGCAAATTCACAGATTCTTCTAAGACAAGCAACACTATTCGAGTTTTCTTGCCAAACAAGCAAAGGACAGTGGTATGTAAGCGTTGCCTCTCAAAAAAATTTAGCTACCCTCCTGCCTGTAGAAAACTTGGACCATAATGCTCAATTTACAGATAAACAAAATCTTCATTGCTATTTCAGGTCTTTATTAATGGACTTTCTAATTGCATAAGTCATTGCTTTATATATTGTTATGTTCCTTCCATAGTCACTGTTTTTTCTCCATCTCATTCATTCATTCATTTATTCATTTATTTATTTATTTATTTATTTATTTATTTATTATATTTGCCTGGATTATCTTCCTTTCTGCAACTTATTACCAAATGGTACATATTCTATAGAATAATTATTAAAGGCTTTTTAAATAAAGCTTAGATCTTAAAAACAAAAGAATTTTTTTCTGATTGTTATTTTTATATGTTTTATAGTTCATAACAAGGCTGTGAATCACCTTTCTTCCTTTTCTCTAGGACATTGCCAGCCAACAGTTATTTCTGGATAATCTGTTTTTATTCTATGAGTAACAGGAGTTTTCTGACACAGAATGTTGTTGTGTTGTCGAGTCTCCTACAACTCATCGTGATGCTGTGTACAACAGCCAATCTCACTGTCTCCGACAAACTTACCCCCATTACCCCAGTTACCGAATCAGTCCATCTCATAGAGGGTCTTCCTCTCCTGCGCTGTCCCTTCACTCTCCCAAGCATGATGTCCCTCTCCAAGAGCTGGTCCCTTCTTGCAACATGTCCAAAGTATGTCAGACCAAGCTTCAGAATCCTTGTCTCTAAGGAACGGCTTGCTCTCACCCTTTCTAGGATGAACCTGGTTTTTTTCTTTTAGCAGACCATAGTATATTCAATACTCTTCTTCAACACCACAGTTCAAAGACATCAGTTCTCCTTCTGTCATCCCTAGTCATTGATATGCACCTCTCTGATGCAAGTGATTGCAAAGACCATGGCCTGTATCAGGCGCACCATAGTCTCCAGACTGACATCGTTGCTGTTCAGTACTTTGGAGAGGTCCCTAACAGCAGACCCAATTCAATACATCTTTTCATTGTCTGGCTGCTGGTGCTAAGAGTGTTGATTTTGGAGCCAAGCGAACTGGAGTTGTTAACAGTCTCAGTCTCTTCACCATCTATCATGATGCTGCTATTCGGTCCAGTAGTGAGAATCTTTACTTTCTTGATATTGAGCTTCAATCCATATTGAAGGCTGCAGTCCTTGACCCTCTGCAGCAAGCACTTCAGGTCCTCCTCAGTTTCAGCAAGCAGGGTTGTGTCATCTGCATAATGCAGATTGTTGCTGAGTCTTATCTCCAATCCTGATGCCATATTTCTCCCCATAGAGCCCAGCCTCCTGGATAATCTGTCTGCAAGTTTTCTGCTGTTCAGAGAAAATAGGTAGAGATGTCAGTTCAAGTCTGCTACATCGGAAACATCAGAAAGCAAGTACAGTCTTGAAATAGTAAAAGAACTGAAGCAAAACATACAGTGAGAAGACAGATTATCTTGATTTTGCCTAATGCCATATCCAAATCATTTTGTGTTTAGCCTCTGATATTTGCTTTTCTCTAATCTCAAGATCACATTCCAGGAACCAGTAGATGATGCCATACCTGGCCTGCAGTCATCCTTTTGATGGTATGGTCATCAGTTTGAAGCAGTATCCCCTTGGGGCTTTTATGTTGTCAGTGATTATCACTTCACATTAGCAATTACTGACTGTGTATCTTCCAACACCCATCCTCCAGATTGGCAAAAACATGATCCCTAGCCAAGTCAACTATTTTGAGAGTCCTCTGAGGCCACCAAAACCTCTGTCACAGATTTGGTGGCCACCATTTGACAGACAATTCCAGTCCAGACAGCTTAGATATCTTTGTTTATCACAAAGATAAACGCTGCAGTGTCTAGGAGGCAACCTCACAGCAAACCCCTCTTCAAACATGGAATTATATTAAGAAGGAACCAAAAAATGAGCAGAATAGGAAACAAGAAAATCTTTCCGATGAAGGGCTTTTGAACATTCTGAAATAAATTGTAAAGAATGTTTTTTAATAAGTTTCTTATACAGATAGAGAAGAACATAAAAGGGACAGAATCTTTTTTAAATTTATTATTAATTACAATGAAAATTTACAGAGACTTTGTTCCATTCATACATTGTTGCACTTTTCTCCTCTCCC